ATTCAATTTCAATTTCATTCCAATTCATTTTTCACCGGTAAGTTCAACCGCTCTTATCTATGGGGTAATTAGTCCAATCGTTCAAACAATCGTTCTGAGAATTGATTTCAACCGACCCCCTCTTGACGAACCAGTGCTAATTTGTGGGGATAATTCTATTTGTATCCAGATGCTCCATAATATGTTCTTTAAGGATTTTTTCAATCATACGACAGAAAAAAGACGTGATACTGGCAGGTTTGTAATTGTTAACCGGGTGTGATGGTTCTTTTTTCAGTAATGAAGTAACAAAGGGGTGCTTTGATCTCGAAGGGAGTTCCTCGTAGGATCTTGCCCCGAATGCAGTTCCTCATAATAGTTATAGTGTTTGTAGCAATGGCTTTCGGAATGTATTATGAATTAGAAACTCAATTTTTATCATTTTCATTATTTTCCAGTATTTCTTCTAGTCTTCCTGTTTGCACCCCTGTCGTGTATTTTCCAATGGTGCATTTCATCCAGAATCCACTGTGATAAATCAGTGGCCGATTCTATCGCACCTTTGAAACCTTATTCTATCCACGACCAGAGTGGCGGAAACATTTATTTTTTAAACTTTTCTTGTCCAAAATTCCATTCAGGAACAGTATGTTACATGCGCAGTTACCACCCGATGGACAGGACTTCATTCTCAGAGAGGGTTCGTTTTAACGGACATTCGACAGCGTCCTCGAATAGCCTACTTCTTGGTTGTTTTCAGATTGGGCAGCTTTGTGTGGTGCTGGCAACAATCATGCTGTTCTTCACTCCTTGTCTTTACCTCTACTTGGACGCAATCCTCTTCTATATTCATGTGTACTACACGATGTGTCCCGCAGTGCAATTACTGGTACGTTCCTGATTCCTAAACCATCTCGAAATAGCATTCTATGAGTTCATATCTAAACAGAATCCGTTGTATTCATTCAGGGCCAACATAGGGGTGCCTCGTTGGATAATTTGAGTTGTTTGCACAGTGGGTCGCTAAGGGCGACAGGACAAAAATGCCAAAGCAATCTAGATGCTATCGAGGTTTGTTCCATTTTGCAAATATTGAACCTATACCTTAAAGAAGAGTCTGGGGATGCTCCTGGAATCCCACTAGAATTGCTACTTCGAAAGTATGCTAAAAGAAACATTCTTGAAAATCTTCACAGATAAATGACAGCGATATCTGCGAAAACATGAGTTCAAATATAAAATAAGTCACCAGCTGAGATTCCGTTCAAGAGAGTAGATCGGTTCTGCTGGTACGATTACATAATGAGAAGAACAGTGGTACAAGAGGGAATGAATAGGGCTCAAAAATCGCTGCCGACAAAGATACTCAATGAAAGCACGAAGAAACCGTACTACGCCTTGGTGAGCCCATATATAGACTCCTCTGATGCAAGACTTCACTGAATACCTCCCTTCACTTTCTCCCCCTCACCCCTTCAGCCCCCTCTCCCCTGTACATAATCTGCAGAAGCAATCTGATTGGACCTTTTCCTGATTTAAAAACACCGAGACAATCGAAAACATGTGTTATCGAAGATGTCAGGGGGCTGAGGGATCTTCAAGATGAGGCTTTCACGCTTCCAGCTAACCACTATCACGTGGTCAATCCTGCAGGAAATTAAGGTTAGCTGGGTACTCCCGATCCCCATATTCTGCCGTAGGAACATTGAACCTTGTCGGACTTTTTAGTGCTGACAGCTTTTAACTTACCTTATTAACATGTAAATAAATGGCTGTAATCCTCTGGAACTCATCATTTCAGGGTATGTGGCTTGGTTGCTTGGCGTTCGCCTTCTTCTCCATTCCAACAGTCTTTGCACTATTCAAAGTGTCGAAATACTACTTGCGTATGAAGACCGAATACTACTGGAGTGCATCCGAAGGCTACGGAGTGATTCGACCTCGAGTAGCAACGACAAACGATGCCCTATATGGAAAGATTTACGGAACACTTCAATTCAACAGGCCAGCTACAACAGGGCCCATTCGGCCGCCGCCGGTGACAGAACCGACAGCTTACGGAGTGTTCATAGAACAGCCCATTTACACAACCTTCCGAAGAGATTGATTGATTGTTTGTTCCTGGTTGCCCTTTCTCTCTCCAACAATCAAAATCCAGATCAGGGTATCTGAAGCAGAGAAAATCTTTGCATCGTCGTGATTTCACCTTTTAGATGACGTGTACTCGAAATAGGTCTGCAAGTGATAAATAAAATTAATTGAAAAGGACAGATTGGAACAGGATTGAGCGATATCGGGCATCTCATCCCCTTTTTTGACCGTTTTTTGGAAATGAGCTTTTCGGGTGACATCCATGTTTCGCATAATAGAGGGCCAGTTTTTGTGTTGAATCAGTTGTATAAAAGATAATTGTGTTACGTTATTAAAGTATAACATAATAATTTGTAACAATTGTAATAAGTATTGATAATTTTCGTGGTTTTTTAATGATAACTTTCATTAAGCTGCAAGATAAACCACCCACTGCTTCTGATTTCTGCCATTGCCAAAGTTATCAGAAGTGATGCAACCCGCTTCGATGTCTTTCGCCATAATCCATGACGAGAGATTACGGTCTTCTGATGTTACCGCTGCTATAATAATTTCAGTTTTGTTCCCTCGGCATTCAGGCGATAACATCTGAAGGATAAGTAATAAGGTCAGGGAGGTTCGGAAGAGGGAAAAGGGAGCGACGGAACGTCAAATTAGCTGAAGACAGTGAAAAAATGGTTAAAATCGAGAATCACCGAGAGGGATTGCTGAAATAAAAGCGATGGTAAGCGAAGAATGTGGGATATGTAGTAAAGTAAAGTTGAAATGAAGATTATATAATGCGGAATAGAGAAGTGAACCTCTGGCTTGGTATTGATAAGCAGAAACCGCTGCAGGTATAGAAATTGGAACGAGCAACTGAATAGAGGGAATTGGATTCAAAGAACTTATCTTAAAGTAGTAAATGCATGAGTTGATTCCAGGGAAAGATTGAAAGTAAGAGAACTGTAAACTGATGAGGGAACGCCCGACTGAGATTCATTGGACTTCAAACAGGAAGGTAATACCCTGAAATGAAAATAGATTTCATTTTTGGTGGGGGTGAAGGGAATGAAGATGAGAGGAAGAGGGTGCGATTGATGGGAATCTAGAAATGGGATCATTTTTCAAGTAACGTAACGTGCACCGTACACTGCACTTCACATTGCAGAGATGTTGCGATACTGCTGAAATGACCTTCTCATGAGGTGTAAAGAGGGTAAAAAGAAATTCATGACTGAGCTAGCACTGATAGAGATGAATACTGTATGCATCGTTATGAATGTTAGAAATAGAGAAGAGAACCTTGGAAGTTATTAAAAATTTTCCGAATGCGCCCCGAATTCGGCTTCCATTCAAAATCGTAGCGAAGTTTTGGGTTCGGTTCACGAAAGTGGCTTCATCATTTCAGGTGAGTCAGGTAACAATTAAATGGCCCACGAGAATGAAAGGCCTGGTTGCTGCACGTATATCTCGGGCTCGGTCCCAGGACCAGGCGTGAGATACTGTACGACATCTGCCACTATGTACACCACCTCCACCCACAGGTATGAAAACAACACAAACTGCTCCAAAATGAAACCTATATAAATTACAGTATGCAGAGTGGCTAGCATAGTTATATGCTTATATCCCTTTTATTTTAGGAGCTCGTAAAAATGTTTTTTTTTATTAAATCCAACTACTGCTATACTTCCTGAGATGCATCTCATACATTTCACTACCATTAGTTTGTTACCCGAAACTGAGAGGATTTTTTTTCATGCTTTGCTGTGGTAAATACTTTTATCGCCGGTCTGGGGCGAGGTTTTTTTCGCTTCTAATCTTCAAAGCAAGGTAGATTAGAGCAATACTTTTCAACGAAAAATGTTGTTGGCTTCTTCTTGTCTCTTCTTCCTCACTGTGCTCTCTCCCCCCAAACATCACGTTTACTGAGATTGAACAAGTAGAAAAAAAAATAATCAGAACAGTGGAATGGGTGACGTATCGAGTGAGAATACCTACTTATTGCGAGGAGGCGTTGATAAGAGGTCTTATGAGTAGGCTGTTTTCCTCATCGCTTTTGTTTCTGACCTTTCTGATAGTTAAATAATTGAGTTAAAGGCACAGTTTGCGATAAAAGAGCCTCATGGGACATCCACCCCCTTAAGATAAATTTCTGGGCCCTTGTATACTATGTGGCGCTGTCAGGTCGAAAAACGTCCAAGACAGGGCTCAGAGAGGCTCAAAGATTGTCCGGTGTCTCCTCGGACGAGTTTCACGAGCACTGTGGAGGCTGCACAAATCACAAGGGAACCCATGTAGGAAGTTCAAAGAACTTGTCATAACTGAAATCTCGTCCGAATATCCCTTTCACGATTTTTCCATCACGGTAATCTCGTCCAACCTCAATTTTTCCTACTTTTGTGAAGCCTTATTTTTCTCGGAATCGGCAAGTTCCTCGCTTTCTTCACCACCGATGAACTTTTTCCAACCTACTAAAAAGGGGTAACTCAAAGGTACCGTGAACTTGCCTTTGAATTTTTCTTTCTACAAACTGGATTTAACAATAAAAGGTCAACAGCCAACTTATTGAATAAGGCAGCTTCATTGGCAACTTTGGCAGTGTAAGAGACAGAGGAGGATATCGGTACTCTGAACTATATCCCCATTCCATCGTAACACCTGTTTGGAGGGTGACCCCTGAAAAAAATTTCTGAGAACAATCAATACACTCGAGATAAGCTAACAAGCATTACTATACTTTTGGTGCCTTATCAGCGCCAATTCTGAGAGGAAACGGCTTCAAATCAAGAAACGACTGGGAAAAACATCGTCACAGTTTTAGTTCATCGTTATGGCCGAGTCGGTGGGTGGTTTCTACTTCAAACGTTCATTTTCACAACCAAGAATTTCTGTTACGTAAGAAATCGATACATTGTCACAAAACCGATGACAGTGCGCTTTCGCAAGCATGCTTCATCTCTTTGGATCTGTTCCCCAGTGGTGGCAGTTTTTCGGCAAATTTGCATTATGCATTTGCAACTTGCATTTCTCACTTCGATCGCTTGTTGGTATTGTTTTTTCTTCAAATGACCGTACAAAATAGTGTCGAGTGTCTTTCTCCCTTCTTCTTCCTTTACACTTACACCTTTTGTTGGTTCACATGTGTTGGGAGAGCGATTTCCCCAGATTTGACAACTTGCTGATGAATTTTATCGCGATTCTTGCCCACTTTGGAGCTGTTGGAAAAGCTCGGAAGGGTTTAAGTGGAAACTTATGCCATCGGAGGAGGACCTTCCTGAACCTTCACTACAGGTTTTTGTGAACCTAGGCTCTGAGAATGGATGAACGACGTTTTCCATTGCGCTTATCAATGCCAACAACAAGTTGTAGGTCACAATGTGGCGCAACCTCTATTTACCCAAGTTGACGGGCTAAGTTTTTCGAGTAGGTTGAGACTTCAAGGTGATTCCGCTTTGCAATAGTCGAGAAGCTCCTGTGACGCTGAAGGAAGTAAGCAGAGCGCCCACGTGCTGGTGGTTCGAGGCAAAAAATGTAAATAGATCATGTATGACAGCGGCGAGATTGTGTGGAATGTAGCAATCAATGATGCCGCTGAAATCGTTTTTACAATTCACACTATCTTGTTCGAGTACTTTCTTTTTTTTCGGGTGCCTCAGTTTTGTTTGATTCCCATGACCATTTCCTACAAAACAGTTTTCGACTCCGTGAAAATTGTGAGGCGTCTTACTTACGGAAATAGTTGGTGGGATTTCTTGTGAGTAGTCCAAAGGGGGGAGGAGGGGCTACACCTTCCTTTCTCACTGGTACATGAATCAGGAGCTAACCCAGCAATCTTAAAAGGTCAGAGTGCTACTGGCTTAGATGGGGTTCGATCGTGTGAGCAACATTGGATACAATGCAATAGGTTTTTCGACGAGATCTCTCTACACCTCTACTCCCTTCTCTGTGGATGCCTTCGCTTGATTAGCTATCTCTCTGTAATTCTCAATTGAGCTGATGGCGATTATGAAGTGGGATATTAATTATAATTAATAGATAAAGCCACTCGGCATTTCAATCCCTTTTGAAGGATGCGCCTCCGCACTCGGCTTCCATTCGGAGTCGTAGTTGGATGACTATGTGGCCTAAACAATGACGTGTGATGGTCAACCGATGGACAAGCTAGTGCTTTTATTTTCCTAGACGAGTGTGATAGCAAATAACCGACCCCGGAGGGATGGAGGGCTTGGTTGACCAAAGCTCGAATCGATTCAGCACTCGAACCCTTAACCATGCGATAGTCCACGACTTACCACTACATCACCTCAGCAGGCAATATATATTCTTTAAAAAGTATGCAACCTTATCAGTGGCATACCTGGACATCTTTTTGCAATACTGTTTCAACATTGGAACGTTTAACTCGTAGTACCCCCTACGCAGGGGATGAATGAGAGAAGAACAGAGGTATCCACACAGGGAAAGAGGAGCCGAACGTGCAAGGGATATAGGGGCTGTAGGGTTATTATCGTAAACAAATTGGTTTTTAAATTCCGTGAATGTGAGTTACAGACAGTAGCCTGTGATGACGCACTCGCCCAAGGTACCTTTTCGTGGCGTCGTATATGTGACGGGTATTCGGAGGCGTTAGAGTGTGTTTTCGGGTTACTGTATAACAGGCTCGCGCGACTTTGACAACAGCCCCTTCTCATTGGTGGCTTTCCTTGATTATTTGCTTTACTTTAGGTTTTTCTGTATTTAATGGGCTTGCAATAACCAAATAATATTATACACAAAATGGGCCAAGAAAAACATCGTTATTTCCTGTAACCACTAGTAAATTCAACCCTCTCCTGAAAACCCCAAGTTTTGGCCTATTTAGAAAACAATCAGTGCAAAAATGACTTTGATATCTAGTTTCTCTAGTATTTACTCGTCTTGTACTACAGAAAGCGTAAAGAGTCCATAATCACGAGTTAGTTGTTTGTAACATATTGTGTAACGTATTTGTAACAACTTTTTCGAGAACTTGCCCTCTTTTCAACTTCCTAT